CATGTACTTTCGACGATTTATGACTTGAAAACGAAGTAAAGTGCGTCTGGCTACGCACGACTTATTTCACTGTGGCGATGAACGTGTTAAATGGAGTTCTATTAACTTAGAAAAACCTGAATAATTCTCGATAACAGATTCGTTCTACTTAAATAAATTACATCACAGATTAATAATAAATTACTAATAATAATATACTAATTATTACAGGAATTATAATATTTCCGTTAAAATAGTTCGGGGGTCAAAGAATCCGTTAGAAATACCACTTTAACATAGTAACACCTATCGTTAATAGTATTCTGAATCTCTTCGAACCTATTGTAAGTACTATAGTTTAATCGAATACGATTTTTTTTTTAAAGTTATGTTCGCGGATTACCGTTTCTATGTCGATTCCCCAACAGACAGGCCGTTTCAAAAGTGGCGTTCCGTTCAGAATTACGAAACAGGTCCGAACGAAAACATGGTTCCGTAAGTCTGTTGTCTCTTAAGTAAAATCACGCTGAGTCACCGCATTCCTTCATTGTAGGTCTTTCAAATAGCCCGCCCATCGACACACCACCGCCATATTGTGTACACCCCATTTTTTATGCTCGTGTGTTCGAACACCACCGGCTGGTTACCAGTTTGTGCATTGCATGCGTTTTGTACGTTCTTGGCGAATCTTGGACAGTATGTTTTTTCTCTTCTTTCATTGTAGCTAGACACACCTCGAGATTGCTTACGTCATTCGCGCTGCAAATAGTGTTTGTCACAATTTTTTTCACTTGATTCTCAGCTCAAAGAACCCGTGCACACGAAATTGCGTTTCAGAAACAATTTTAAGAACACGATAAACAACGATAAACTTGCATTCTGCTGAACTATTTCTGAATTATTCTGTACACCGTGTTGAATTTTTATCGTTATTAAGAGGCCACGCCCGCTGTTCTGTTTGGTGAGGGTAGTGACCTCGAGCAGACGATCTTATTGAAAGTAAAGTTCGTCCTAGATCCTTCTGATTCTTCTTATTCCTTTCTTCGTTTCAGTAATTCGGATTTATTCCGTTTTTTTGACTTTGTTTTCTTAATACTCTGAAAAACTTATTTATGTTATGACGTTTATATTATGTACTTCACTTTTACAATGATCGAAATTTCGATGATCATTCCCTTTGCTAAAACTAATGTTTTTCGACGGTAAATATTTGCTGCATATTGTCAGTATATATCAGGGAATTACGAATTTATTTCATGGTCGGCGAACAATTTTCTTGTTAAGAACTCGGACCGATAGTCGGACGGATTTAAAAAGTTTCTCTCGGTCGTTACGACTGTTTGTTTAACGGGGAAAAATTACGAGAGAGGAACGGATAGAAAAAGTAAGTTTCCAGAAGGTAAGATAATTAGAAATTTCATCAAAAGTAGCTGGGATGGATGTTCATCGAGTTCATTAGCGCAAGCTTCGATTGAATCGCAACGGCTTTACCCATCCCACTCTTTACTTCTTTCTTCATAAATTCGAATCTAGACATTTTTCGCTGTTATTTTATAACTCTGTTACTATAGGATTGTATCTGTAAGTACAGTGAACTCGAATCATTGCCATTCTTATCGATTTGTATTCATTAAGACATCGGAAAATCCCCCCAAAAAATGTCCCCTACGAAGCCCATTGCTCTAACTGAATTTCTACAAAATGGTTTCCGTCGACCTTAACCCTTTAACCGTGTTCGACGAGTATACTCGTCATTAGGGAATGACCACACTTTCGCTAATAACAAGTATACTCGTGATGTAAAAAAATAAAATACTTGTTATAAACGTTTTGATTTTATTTTGGAAAACAACCATTTGACTTCTTTATTCTAAAGAACATAAATATGACTTTCAATTTTTACAACTACATGTGTACAACAAAATTTTCGTTGTAGGTCACAGCATCCATGCCATTCACCTTCCGTGGGTTAATTAACGTTCACAAATATTGTTGTCGTTCCCTTCCACGTCCAAATAATCACCAAGATTGAATAGGGGAACCAGCATTAAGACAATAATTCGTGCAAGCCCAAGTGGTGTGTCGAAAAGCTTCATAGTTCGTATTCCTGTCGGCCCTTTAGTCCCAGTGCCTTAACATTCGGGTACATACTTCGAATTCAGAATCACGTTCGGGATCATTTCCACGAAGTGTACCATATCCTTGCTGGTGGGCGTATAACAGGCCAGTCAGGGCGGTCGATGCTTTCTGAAAACGATTTAGAAACCGCGGCTGAATCACACAAAGAGATTCCCGAAGTGCGTTGACCGTCCTTTCGGAGCCCGGAGCCCAGTGCCCTTGGGATTCCTTTCACGAATATCCATACTTGTACACACACACACATGTTTTTTCGAACATAAAGCGAGATAAAGCTCCATAAAGAGGGTATAAAAATTTTTCCGCGACCGGACGCGAATAGACGATCCACGGAATAGGCGTTCTTAATTGCGCGAAACCTTGCGTCCTGAAGTTGATTCAAGGACAACGCGAAAGAAGGGGATACCCGACGAATGGATCCGTCTGCAGCTTTATTTCGAGGATTCTACTCGAATGGAACAATTGAAGACCTGTTCATACCTTGAATCACATCAGAAGTGACCTTGTTAGGGGATCTTTTGTCCGAAGAGAATATTATTTAGACTTTTTTTGGTGGTTTCTTTTGTACTGTGATTTTTTCTGGAGTAAACATTGTTACAGCTCTGGTCAAAGCATTGTAGTCTCCTACAATGTATATACAGGGTGAGTCAATAGGAACTATTGTCTAAAATAACTTCATCAAATGTACCCAAAGGGTTAAGAAAATCCCGACAAAGAGATGACGCGACGGAAACACTTTCTTCTCGCAAGCTTGTTAGCTCGTCGACGTTTCTCGATCCCTATCGATTTACCTGCGACATTGAACGATTTCCGCGGCGATCCACAAGCCAGATCCGCCCACGACTACGCGTCGACGTCTCAAGTTTCCTTCGAAACCAACCCCCCTCCGTCACCCCTTCTTTTTCCGAAAAAAAGCCCACGTCTCTGTGGTACCATGCAGACTGTTCCATGCAAATTTTCTGCCTTCTAATACTCGACACTATACATACACACACACGTCGTATATACAGGGTGACTCAATGTGAAATGATACAGGCATTATCCCCCAAATACAATAAACTTTTCTTGAAAAAATGTTTCCATTAACAAACTAGATTAATTTGTTACTTTTCAATTGAAACATTTTTTTCCATTAACAAACTAGATTAATTTGTTACTTTTGAATTGAAACATTTTTTTCCATTAACAAACTAGATTAATGTGTTACTTTTGAATTTTGAATGTTTGAATTGAAACATTATTTTCTATTAGCAAATTAGGTTACTTTAGACTCGCGTCGTTGTTTTGCGGGCCACATGTCGACTGGAATGAGAATGTTCAGGGTAATATCCTTATGTTGTTTTAATCCTAAGCAAACTAAGCACTCGAAGTCACTTATAATCGAATACGTCTACGCTTGACAATCAACTTTAAACTAGTGAATGACCGAATTGTTGGATTTCTGAACGTTTGAAATTAATACTTCAATGTATTTATTTCTTACAAACTTTTATAAAAATAATTATTTATTCTTATCGTAATTCTTAAATAATTATTTATAAAGTGCAAAAAGTGCAAAAGCCCAGTAAATGACTGCTTCATTTCTAAAATATTTTTAATAAGAATTGTACTTATTAATGTTTCCTTAATAACCTAAACTAAAAATATAGAATATTAAAAGTGCAACAACGCTTCATTTATAAACATTTAATAATTTTTATATTTATAATTGACATTTCTTGCATAATAGTCATTCACTGGTATGCAGTCAATTACTGGTTGGTTTACTCTAGTATAAAAAGTTTCGTATTCGAATTCGTGTCTACTGATAATAATAAAAGAAAAGCGTTCAGTAGTAAAAACGTAAAGTAGTGGATCTATATTTTCTCGTAAAGTTCACGCATAACGAGCTTTCCATCGCATACCACCAGCAGCCCCTCCACCCCCGTGACGAACATAAACTCCTTTATTGGATGTACCGTATACTTCGAACACGGTCAGAACAATAAAACACAAGTAGGCCGGGCAGTAAATCCTAAAGATCGTTCGCGAACGAGTCTCAGGGCAGACACGCGATCCCGCGTCAGCGAACTTAAACGATCACAATGACGATCCACGTACCCTGGAGTCCAAGGTGCATACCATTCTCCGGAAGTCGCGTGCAGCCTGCAACTGATGCTCCAAAAGTATCATACCTTACCCTAACAATAATCAAAATAACCCCCTGTATCGCAGTTCGAATCGAGTCTCGGTTCATTACTTCCGCAAAAATCCATCCTCATTTTCCTTCCAGAGTGTAGCTCCCAAGTGATCAACACAGTTCATCTCGAACGGAGTTCATTTCCATTCGCCGAAGATCAAAAGTGAAGCTCCAAATTACCATTTAGACATCACCAAGAACGTTCATTCATTCTCGTGAGTCCAACGTCATCTGTTCTTCCAGAGCGTAGTTAGAGTGATCTGAGAAGTCAGACCATCGCTGATAAGCGTGTGTTCTAACTCATTTATCGATGATCAAAACCGCGATCAGTATCATCGTGGTGGGAATCGAAGTGGGTTCCGCGAGTCAGTGAGAGAATCCAACGAAAAAACGGCGTTCATCCGCGGGATTAAAAATAAGTCTCGGACATTTTTGTGTGATGACTCGGACGGAAGAGGATCGACTGGTCAAGCTGTTTCTCTATGGTGCCGTGCTGCTGCCGAAAATATCCACGTGAAGGGGAAGTGACAGGTTGGTGTGGATAGGATAGAGAAGCTTGGGAACGTGGGCCAGTTGTTGCCCCAGATGGAAGAGCTGACGTTTTCACGCGACGTCATCAACGACGACAGTTCAGCGAAATAAACGTTTAGGATCGAGTAGCGAATCGAAGAGATCACGTGGATTGTTTGATCACTGTTGGAGCAACATGGACGCCCTGGAATTGCAAGCGGCCCTGGTCAAACTGGACCCAGCTACCACCGTGACACCTATCGGGTCCAATGTGAAGATAGTACCGCCTCATCATCGTATAGCATTCGCGGTGGATCTGGACGAGAACAATTTGACGTTGGAAAACGCGACGCAGAATGATGAGAAGTCGACCAGAAGCTCGAGTAAGTCGAGGAAGTTGCACAACAAGTGCTCGACGAATCTGACCGTGCCCGGGCATCAGAATCATCAGAACGCGCAGCAGATAGGGATGTCGAAGTGCAACATGGCGGAGGTCAGGTGACGCCAGCCTTGCTTCGACCTTATCTTTTATCACACTTATCCGCCGCACCGAAGCAGCAAGCATCACGCTAAGCATCATTCTAAGGAGAAGAGACATAGATCCCATGTGGTAAGTTTGAGGGTACCTAGGTGGGGGAGGGGATACGCTGTTGGATGGAAGTTTGGGATCGCATGTTTTGGTAGTTCCTGGTCATACTTCAGATCGTAGATAGTGCTTTTAACCCATCTGCATTATGGATAGTAGAACATGCCCTTGTCATAAGGTTTCTTTAATCCAAATTCAAGTGTACAGGATGTTCCCACAAGATGGGACATTCCTTATGCAAATAGTAATTGAAAAGTCCTTTACCGTTTGGTAATCTGAAGCTCCATTTCCGAGATATTAGCAGTTAAACGAACCCGAATCAGCTGAGCGGTTGGCGACACGTGTGCGCGTACTTGTGGCCATCCGCTCAGCTGATTCGGGTTCGTTTAATTGCTAATATCTCGGAAACGGAGCTTCCGATTACAAAATGATAAAGGACTTTTTGATTTGTATTTGCATCAGGAATATGCATGTTAAGGATTGTCCCATCATTTTGGGACACTCTGTATAGTACTTGATATTTCAGTTACTCGAACGTGGTATAAGGGTACTACTGACGCAAATGGGTTTAATAGTGATTCCTGTATTCTTTCAATTTTCGCTTGTATGTTGAATATATCATTATTTATAATTGTCTAATAAGAAATCACTGAATTTCGTTAGGATACAATGTGATTCTGAAGTTCTGACCGACAGCGTATCTGTACAGGGTGATTTGTGTAACTCGATCGTATAAAATTATTCATGGGACTGTTGTGAAAAAATATTTTTAAAAATGATTACACGGTTTTTATGGGGTATGTCTGTAGCAACTATACGATCGTGCTTGTTCAGTTATATTTAGCTACTCTTATTTATTGTCTCATTTGATTATCCTTATATCCATGTTTGCTTTGTTTTTTTTTTAAGCAAGTTCTGCTTTTTTCGTTCATTTTTCAATCATTCTATCATTTAATTCATTCAATGTCTGTTTTCCTACAAGAGATAATTTACGAGTCTTTGGGATGACCAAGTTACATGAATTACCCATCTTAGATTAATTGTTGTTATTTTTTAGTAAACATTCTGACAGTTGTTCGAAGCCTTCGTTGGCACGAGGTTCATATATAAAATGATATGATCAACCAGGCTATTATCGTTACTTTGTTTCTATCTTTCAGCATTAATATTGTGAGTGAATGCATCAGTAACCAATTATTGCATTTATATCAAGTAGATCGACAATGTATTGCACAGGCATTGCATGAGTTGCTGTATACGGAAACTATCATTGTTATATGTTCATGTCATGACCCATATTATCGAACATATTGTTAGTATCGCTTCCATAAAAGCAAATCAAATCATCGACCAATCTATCAATATTTCTGAACAGAGATATTTTCACTTAAAATGATCACACACAATTCGTTAAATTTTCTCAGGCTCATTCTGAATCATCCTATAATTCTGATTAAAAAATAATTGTCATCGCGAACCACCTATCCCCGTGCTACGAATGTACACTAACCGATCATTCCCTGTGGCATTAAAAAATTCATAAAAAAAATCATAGAATTCTTATTTCGATACAAATTTAGAGGCAATTGTGACAAACTAAGAAGATATTGTTACACGAATTTAGGTGAAACATAATCTAAAAGGGTGAATGCAGATATACCTTTGCCCGCCGCGAAGTCACCGGATAATGGAACGCGCTGATGTTTCGTGCACCTGACACGCTACCGTGTATAATTCGATCCACAAAGCGACGAGCACGTTCCGTGACGGTGGTGGTACTCACCTGTACGCGTTTCATCGTGACGCGTATTTGGCCCGGGCGAGCGGTTCCGTTTCAAACGCGTGCACGCACCTCTGCATTAGGGCGGGTTTGCACCAGCTGCCGCAGAAGCGGTGCATAATGGGCCTATCGCGAGCCACTTATTCAGCCCTCTCACAGGGTCACTCAAGGCTCATTTAACCCTTTCATTCCCAAATTATTTAACAATTACCAAGAAAATCCACCATAATATCTTACGATGGACACATGTTAATGAAAATAACAATACAGTAGAAATATCCAGATTGACTTTTTGAATAATAATAATTTAAATTCCTTCTAATTATAGTTTAATATATTGACTGCCAGTTGTTTCGCTAAACCAAACGGAATGTTTACTTTACAAAATTTTGTAATGATGAAATTCGATGTAAAATTATTCATTTAAAAAGAAACTTAACCTATAAATTTCAACTACAATTATGTTGACTTCATAAGTATTAATTATTCGCGTTTTATCAGTACATTTTACACCGTCTGAATGCATTTTAGATCCTTTAGCGTTAGTAATATGGTTCGCATAACGGTTAGGAGCATTTCTAACCGTGAACCGGTGGGGCGATCAGCCGCGCCAACGCGTGTTACGTCGAACCTTAAAGGATAACCCACTTAAGACGTCCATTGAGAGGAAGCTTTTGATGACCCTAACGCTGGAAGTCGGAGTGGTGCATCCACAGTGCAATTGAATTCATTCAACCGGCCCTGTTGCACAAAGGCGTAATAATTATCGCCAGAGAATGCAGACCTTACTGCTGGCTTCCTTCTTGTTGCCTTTTATCATCGAATCGAGCATATCGAATGAAATTTATTCATTAACATTAAATCACTCTGATGCAATCGTCTGCGATTAAAATTACAAAGGTTGTTCATTGAATGAAAACACTTTGTAACGTCGGAATTGGTATCGTTATCTTGGTTTCACGTTAAATTGCGCTCCACTCCAGTTAACAAAATGGCGTCCGTTCGTGAAATGCCTGAAATATCAAGAATATCGCATAAATTGAGCATTACATGGATATTTAATACCGATTTGAAGCTAATGAAAACAGATAATTTCTAATAATCGTCGTTACAGGAATAACTATTGCTATCCAATAATTTCTGTGGTCTGTTATCGATATTATTCCATAAAATGCCAGTTATTACGTCTCGTCAGGAATCTCAATATCGGCAATCCTTCGACGGTTAACGTTCTTTAGAATCAATATACTGGTGTTGCAATGACTTTTGTATTCCCCATTATAACATTCCTCCAATGAAATATCAATATCTGCGAGTCTGAATACTAATAATTTCCGTCTATCGGATAATACCTACGCCTCGACAAGGCATCTTTCATTTCAAATCTTCTTTCACTCGATACTCTTTAATACTCTGCAGTCGTTCATCACGAATTCCAATCATATCGACCATTCATTGTTGCGTTTACTATACCTACTTACAAAATTCTTCAGAATACGATATAAATATTCGTACAAATGTTTGTTCGACTTGATCCGATGCTCCCGTTACAGAATATTCCATTCTTCGATAATTCTAACAATGTTTTCGATGGAAGGACGAATTCAGCGACCAATAGCATGAATGTATTAAAAAAAGATGCACTGACCTTGAAAAGACTCAAGATCACCTTGATATCTTGAAAAGAAATAAGGTATAAAAAATCGAATTGTATCCATTCGATGTGTCCCTTAAAATGAAAAACATTAGAAGAACGATCTTAGTGTGTGACCATTAGTTCGTTATTCATCGTAAACAAACGCATTGTTTATATAAAAAAATATATATTTAGTTTACATCAAATATGTTAAATAGTCTTTCTGATCTCTCTGATTTTCTGAAAAACAGATCTTTTTTCACAAGACACCAAAAAATTATAGTGAGCAGGTTAATCTAAACAAAGAATAGTCGTTTATACTTATTGGTACACGTAACAGCATCAGGAATGTGGGGTGGTTATCTCTTCGTATCTTTAAATACTCGACGACATTGAGCCGAAACCAAGAAAACGTCCAATAGAAATAGAATTTGGACCGTTCGTTCGGATGCTCGAGCGAGGTCAGAGACCCTGGTGTGTGTATACAGACGACATTTCTCTCGGTTAACTTACAAAGCCCCGAAAACACCTTTGTCCCGATGTCGATTTTACGACCGTGCGCTCTGTATCTCCTAAGAAGACAACGGGGGTGGTGGTGGTGGTCAGATCGATAACGTGGACCCGGTAACTCGGTCGTCGGCATCTCCCTACCCCTTCACCGACTCACAAACACACAGAAATACACAAACACACAGAAAAACGTACACACACTTAACCGTTCCCCTATTGCAAGATGCACGTTTAGGTGCCCCGTGTGCGAATTTCTAATAACGCACGCGTACGTACGTCCGCCTTTATCTCTCTCTTTCTGTCCCTCGCTGGAATGCAAATTCGCGATGTTCTGGGATACGCTGTGTGTAGTATGAGAATTTCTAATCACGCGTGGAAACGCGTGCACGTCGGCCATTCCTTCTTTCATTTGGCCGTGCAATGTTTGCCGGATAAGTTCTGCCAGAGTTCAAAGTAGCAGCTTGGCGTAGGTATTCGTATGTGAGTGTTTATTAATTGGGACAGATAAGGTAAACCAGTGAATGACCGAATTGTTGAATTTATGGACGTTTGGAATTAATATTTAAATGTATTTTTATGTACATTTATTTTTCTTGAAATGTTTATTAAAATAATTACTTATTCTAATCGTAATTTTAAAAAGATATTCTTTATAAAGTGCAAAACGTGTAAAAGCTTAGTAAATGACTGCTACGTTTCTGAAACATTTTTAGTAAGAATTGTACTTATTAATGTTTGCCGAGCGTGCGTGCTTTTTCACCGTAATTTCATTTCGGCCGCATTAGGGGTCCGCCTTTGCAATATACGCATGCAAATACAAACGGAGTGTGTATATAAGCACATAAATTCAAAGGGATTCGCGCGATTATATTACGTTCATACAGCCGTCCCATGCATCACGGCCACGTGTAAGAAGATATACTATCCATCCATTGGACAATAGGATTCGTCTATAATATCCTTTGACTTTATATTGCGTTATTTACTGTC